AGAGGGACAGAGAAACATGGAGGTGAAAACTACCCTCCTTGGGAAGACACAGTAATCTGTGGCCAGCCCTAAGGGAGGAAGACACTGATGTGCAGGAGCTTTAGCTGCACTGAATTTCACTCTCATCCACCATTTCCTCAGCCTCATTCCCACAGATCTCCCTTGCACATAGTCACAACTTGTGGGTTTATTCACAAATTCACAACATCTCTTGACTGTAAACACAGACGGCTCAAACCTAAGGATGGTGCATGATCGACCCCTTTCAGTGGCAATGCCACCTTGAAGTGTGCCCATCCCAGTGCTCCTGCCCACCCCCAGCCCCAGCCCCAGTCCCCTGCTCTGCCCCTCGCCCAGCACAGGAGCTCCTGGTGTGGCCTGGCCTAGCCTGGGGCCCATCTGGTTTGGAGAAACTCTACAAAATGAGTATTTCTCACTGCAGCTGAGCCGGCACAACCTCCTGGGAGAGGGAGAGTGTGGCGCAGGGCAGGAGCAAACAAGGGGAATGGGAGGGGGGGACTTCTGAGCTGGCGCTGCCATTTAGGGAAACACCTAGCTCACCTTCACCCTGGGATACATTTCCAAGTTCACCTCTACGGTTTAGGAGCATAAAAAACCCCATTGCTGTCAACAATGAGTCCCATGCTCCTGCTTTGTGGAAAAGTAGCTTAAGTATGTCTCATAAAAGCAAAATTCACAACAATGAGAAGTTATTTTGCCTTTTACAAGAGCAAGGACTCTACAGAAACCTTTCACAGCCCCTAAAGCTTCAGAAAAGTCATTGAAAGGAATATTCTTGGATTTAGACCCACAGCAAAAGACAAGCCTCACCCAAACACTCCCACTGACTCCGGCTAGCATTGGACAGGACCCACATGTGAAATGTAAGCAAAATAGGCTGAGTCTCCTTCACAATATAGTGGATTACAGCAAGAGTGGGTTTTATTTATAAAAAATGGGGTTATAACAGAGGGACACAAAGGCCCAAGGCCTTCCCTTCCCCCTCTCCAAACATTCAGGCGAAAAGGCAAAGAGACCGTCCTCACAAGCACAGATACATCACCTCCTCAGCAAACATGTCCACAGATTGTCTTCCCAGCATAAAACTAAAACAAGCAAAATATATTTTTCTTTCAATGTTTGCTTTCTATTTATTTTCTGTTGCTACCTTTGTGCCTGCAGTAATGCCGGTGTTCTCCGAGCCCAGAACCCACTGATTTTGCATCTGCTGCCTAGCCTATTCAACTGCACTCGAGCAGCTCTCCCTTGGCAGCTGGCAGAGCTGCGGGATCGTTTCAGAGTTGGGATGAATGGGCAGAATGCTGGGAATATGAACAGGGGCTCCTGTCTGGGACAGGGACTGAACTGGGATGAGACAGACCACCTCAGTTGTGCTTTCAGCAGATGTTTAAGGAATGGGAGCTTTAAGTTACTTCTTTATGAGTTGTTATTATTATTATTCCAAGTTTCCCCATTGTTATCTTTATTCCTCTGTTGACTTCTTGACTGTTAATGGAAAGCAAAATGCTAAAAGATCACTGGCAGATTCAAATCCATTTACAGGGATTTATACACACAATTTCAAGCAGAAAAAAATATGTAAAAACTTATTGGGGAAAAACCCCAAACCTAACTCTACATAACTAACCAAGGCAACCTCACAGTCCTGTCATTCAAAACTTTACTGTTGGCTCCTCACTGCTGGTAACATCACTTTCTGTGTCGAATAACGACAACCTCTTCTGTGCAAAGATCAAGGACTATAAATTTTCACATTCTGGGCAATATAAGAACCATAAATAACAATTTACTGAATGAATCTCACTTCACTAGGCATGACTTTCCCAAACTTGTATAATGTGTGAAATCATTTATTGCTTGGAGACCTGTTAAACAGGCAGCCACAAAAGCCCATTGCATCTCATTGTTTGAAGCCTAAACCTCAACATCATTTATTTCTAAGCAATTCTTTTGGGTACATGCAGAAATCAAACCCTTGTAAAATCTTTTTAATTTCCTGCTCTCATTCTTTGAGCCCACAGACTGGAGATGTAAGATATTTCACTTCTTTTTTTTCCACATTACTGGTAAACTCCTTTGGTTTCAGCTGTGATGCCCATAAACAAAACTTAGATCAGACAAGGCAAAGGTTCCAAAGACAGACAGTTATTAGCTCAAAGCCAGAATGTTTCATTTTAGATTTCATCCCCATTTAAACCATGAAAACCTCAGTAAGTATTGAATTTAAATCCACTGTCACTTTCTCCAGGCCTTTGTCAAAGGGCTTATTATGACCTTCAAGTTTACAGCAGCTCCTAGATCCCCATGCTGAGAGGGTCACACTGGATCAAGTAGAGCTGTGTACTCACAGAGAGCAAGAAGCAGTCTCCGTCCCGGAGCATTTAGGATCCCAGACAGATGAGACAAAAGATAAGAGAGTGGAGCTATGTTTCCAGCATGTGTCATAGAGCAGGTCAGAGGGTTTAGAAGAAGAGCTCAGGATTCAAAACTCTTAACCCAGGGCCTTATCTACCACATCAGATTTTTTCATACTCTTTTTAAACAAAACAAAGTATATGTATGTAATAAAGGGTACATGCAGATATAATAAAGTATGTGTGCAAAAACCTTTTTGTAAGAAAGGTTCTGTCCCTTCTCACAGGAGCAACCACAAAGCCTCATAAGCCTCTTGGATCCTTCTGAGGCCTCTCCTTTCTCAAAGTACATGCTCATGGCCCCTAATACAAGGACTCGCTCTCACAACACAAAAAACAGCTCACTGAAGAACAGCTTTTGCAGGACAGCACGATGTTTGGATATGTGTTTACCGAATGAGATCTTAATCACTTCAGGTTCCTGTTGGTCCTGGTGCTCTGTATCTGTATGCCAAAAGGGAGAGCAGCAGTGTTTTTTTCTGTAAGCAGGACTGTTATCCTCTGCTCTGGGGCCAGTAGGACTAGGAAGCTATCGGGAGAAAAGTAATTGCATGGGCAAGCCTGAGCTGTTAGCTTCCCGTCAGGCTTGTGCTGTGTGTAAAACCCTGGTTGTCTGACGACGTACTGGGTTACCATGAACCCTCAGCATTGGCGACATGACTGTTTTCCAAGCCAAGCTACCTTAAGCCTGTCAAAGTATGTTTAATTGTTGCTTCTTTTCTCTGAACAGTGCCCAGAAGCATCATATGACATTGGCTAGGCCAGCTGTCCCCAAGAAATGACCCAGGGAGTGGCTGCTTTCTGTGCCAGCCCTCACGGCTGAGGATGTCTCCTGCAGCAAGCCATCCCCACAGTACTCTGCCTGCGGTCCACTGATCAAGGCTCGGGGTACTTTGCCAAACCAGGACAACATTATAAAGGAGCGACTGGGAACTCAGGAGCAGATCAACAGTTGGCTGCAGCACAGCCCCCATTTTCTCTGTACCATTTCTGTGACTTTCCACTCAGATCAGTGTGCCACCTGAAGGAACGCAGACCTGTGTCATTTTGAGTTACACTCAGACTTGTGGGTGCCACTAGTTCTGCTGAATGAACAGTAAAATAGAAACAGGCAGAACAATGTAATTGAGCATGCTGTAGGAAAAATCAGAAGGAACACACCAGCACTATTTTTAAAAGCCACCTGATCCAATATTCATGGTGTGACCCACATATCTACTGAAGTACTGCAGAAACCCTGGACTAGCTACACAATTCTTACCAGGAGTTCACATGAAATTAAGTCACCCTAAACGGTCATTCAAACTACAGGTTACTGACAAGGGAAGGCAGGAAATAAAATGTTCCTGTTGTTCTAGACAACAAAAAAGACTGCTAAGGAAGTAACTTTATAACCTGAGAAGGGTCTGCAGCTTTAAGAAATTCTCCCCTAAAGGTTGTAAAGCTTTTACTATGCAAAGTATTTTTGCTATTATATACACTGGCGGCCAATAAGTGCAGCTATTATTTCTGGCGGTCATTCAGAAAAGGTCAGGGCTGATAAAGTGTTTAACAGAGTTTGTTTGGGTAGATCCATCTGTGTTTTTAACCACCCATACAGTCTTCTGTGTCCTTTTAAAAGATGCTGGATGTTCCTGAGTCTCATAAATTACGGTCTTTATTTGTATTTGCCATCTTTTATTATTTATCATGCCACACCAAAGAACATCTTCTTTACAATGTCCACACTTTCCTGTATATTACACAAGCATCTAAAAAAGGGACGATTCTTTGCTGTGGGGCAGGGATGCAGCCCACAAAGAGCTCCCATTTCCTTGGTAAAGGACATGTGGAGTTGTGACCTGTGGCTCTCATTCCTTACACCTGGGGATGAGTTCATGCCTCAGAAGAGCCAAGGAGAGGAGATTGCAACCAAAGGGCAGGGAAGTAAGAGGTATGTTGAAAGGATGTAGCAAGGAGCCCAAGATGGAGTTCAGAAAGGAAATGTTTGCAGGTCATGTGAGCACCAGGAAAAATATCCCCACTAGTTGGGAGGGACTGTAATAGCATTCTTAACACTCGCACTGAATGGGTTTGGTAGTGCAGGATTTGAAGCCTAGCCCCATTACAAACTCCCCGTACTGCATGGAGCAAACCAGGTGAACTCTCAACACCCCACTTCCCTGCCTGGCTGCACTGCATGGCCCCAAGGCAAAGCACCTCAGAGGCAGTCTCTGCTACCGTTTATGAATACTCCATTCCAAAACCTGACATGAAATACTGCTAGGACCATATTGCTTCTAAACCTGTGTAAACATTTGCTGACCATGAAGCAGGTGAATATTGGTATCACCATTTTACAGACAAGGAAGTAAGACAGAATACGTGGACTTTAGGTAGTGACCGCCAGCGAATGTGTGCCCCACCTGATTCAAGTAACTTCCACTGATGTAAAAATCATTTAAACCCTACAGTGAGAGGAGACCCTCACATCTGGCAACCATTCTGGACATTTCATAAAGCTTTTTGTATCCGGAGATAGTACTGTCCTGAACAACATGTGGTTCAAGTCCTTTTGCCACTCACCTGAGCTTATCTGCTACAAAAATCACACGCCGCTCCAACAGGAGAGAAGCAAAGATCCTGATGATCTGACGAATGCTGAGGCACTTGAAAAGGCATTCAAAGTCCACGTGTTCCAGGCGTGAGTCCATCGGCCGCCGCAGCTCAATGACCTGAACACATCCAACAAGCATCAGTCAGCATCGCTGGCCAGGGCTGATAGCACCAGGGGCGCCCGGCACCCCAGCCCAGGCCCTCCAGCATCGCTCCATGCTTTCCTGTTGAGGGGGCACAGAGAGCAACCCCCATCCTGTTTGGCAAACTGAGGCTGGAGGCACAGCACTCCAGACAAACGGTGTATTACACAATTCACTATTACTCCTCTTCCCAGAATACAGTTCTGCACATTAAATCTGCTGTCATTTCCAAAGGAAGCGTAATTCTGCCCTCTAAACACCCTGTCAGAGATGTACAGCTTGGCTGAGTCAACAGTACGAAGTAAGTACAAACTGGAAACACTGGAGGTGGAAGCTTACAGGGTTAAAACAGCCATGACAAGGTAAATTTGGTTAGAAACCTGCGTAGTGATTCAAATTCACATAAAAATCGGAGCCAGGGACTGAACATAAAGGCCAGGCAAAATTTAAACCCAATTTACTTCATTTTCACTTTTCTGTGATGCATAATTCACTACATCATGTTTGAAACCTTTTTTTGTCATAAAGATATGTACAGATATACTTAACTGGGGAGTCAGGAAAAGGCCTTAGATGGTGACTTGTGACATCCCTTTAAAGCCTAATTTTCATACTTCATCCATGACCTCAGGCCCTCTCCTTCCTTTTCTCAAATGCCTTTTGCTCGATTCCTTTAATATATCTTCCTTTTACTCTGCAAGTGACATGCTCAGATGTGGAACTTGAAGGCGAAGGACAGAAAAAAGAAGAGGGAAAAATAACATGAAGAAGAGAGTAACAGAGGAAGAAAAATATGAAGTGCAAGACAGCAAATGATGAACAACTGAGGAATTTGAGGAAACAGAAGGGAAAGGGGAAAAGTTGGCCAACTTGAAGCTCTGTTGAAATGTCTGAAGACATATTAACAGGAACATATATATACATGTCCTTCTTTCCATATGTCCAAAAATCACCGTCACTTTATTGCTTTAGACCACTTTTATGTTTTCATGCACATGACACCACATTCCACGAGCACACTGTATTGAGTTCAAACTTTCCTCACAAGCATGCTATTGTAAGGATATGATCAGCAGCAAGACCACAGGACACTGGTAGCAAACCCAGTTTATACCAGTTTAGTTGTAATATTGTTTGCGATCAGTAACACAGGACTGTAAAAAAAAAGTAGCTGTTAGGGCAGTATTCATGTACAGATCTAATTTTTTGAAGCCTGAAATACAGAAACATTATGGTGCCAGAGTATTATATACACACCACTCAGCTGTTGCCTCAAACAGCAGTAAGAATCAAATCATGGAGTGACAGCGTCCCATGAATTCCTCCTCGGGAAATGCTGCCTGCCTACCCCTATCTCATGTTCAGTAAAGGTGCCCACTTCCATTCCCGAGCAATGGAAGCTCACATCATGTTTACGTGCCAAATCACGAGGAGCTGGTTTTACTGCAAAACACCCAGCACTAAATTCTTGCTGCAGGGTAAGATGCAATGCAAGTTACGGCAGCTTTTACAAATGCCATGGATGGTTTCTGTTGCCTGGCAAAGCCTTCTGCTTCAGTCTGCTCATCACAAAGAAATATACTGTCTACTTCCCAACTAATCATCATCTTTGTTTAGGCCAGAGGAGCCACAATGGAAGGACAAGATTCTGTTCCTAATTAAGCCAGTGCATTCCATTTAAATAACGAGTTTGTACTAGCATAACAGAGAGCAAAGCTCAGCCAGAAGAGAGCTGTTTGTTTGTTTGGAATTATCTCAGTGTTTTTCTCTGGGAGAGTTCAGAAGCTTGAGCAGATAGAGTAGTCGCAGATCCATGGTTCCCAGATATATTCACATCAAAAAAGCATTGTTATCAGATCTTACCAGTGTTATGCCAGCAGCCTTTCAGTTTTCCTTTGCTTCTTCACAAGAAAATACTTGTGACTTAAATATGCCTTGCAAGTCACTTATACAGGGAACCCTTTACATTTCATACTAAGTGACATTAGAAGCCCATTCCACTGAAGTTTGTGACATTATACTTGGAGAAAATATGATTCAATGTAAAAATAATAATAGTCCTGTAAAACTAACCCTAAGAGGGGAATTCTTTTCTGCTTTCACTAACTGGACCAAATTCTGTTCCTGCCTGCAGTAATGTACTTCCTCTATATGCTTGCCCATCCGAGTGGAGCTACTGTATACTTACACAAGGACACACAGAGAGCAGAACTTGACATGGCGAACGGCTAGCAAGCCTCAAGTTACAAAAAACTTTAAGTAAGGCACCAATATTGTCATTTTCCAGTAAGGCCTATGTTGTATAATGCTAGGCTTCAAGCTACCCGAGTGAGTAATAAAAGGAAATGAAATCTATTATACATGTGCACACACACACACAAAAATTTTATGGCATGCTTTTCCAAATCATAGAATGGTTTGGGTTGGAAGGGACCTTAAAGACCATCCAGTTCCAACCGCCCTGCCATGGGCAGGGACACCTTCCACTAGACCAGGTTGCTCCAAGCCTCATCCAGCCTGGCCTTGAACACTTCCAGGGATGGGGCATCCACAGCTTCTCTGGGCAACCTGTTCCAGTGCCTCACCACCCTCTCTGGGAAGAATTTCTTCCTGATATCTAATCTAAATCTCTCCACTTTCAATTTAAACACATTCCCCCTTGTCCTGTCACTACAGGCCCTTGTAAAAGGCCCCCCCCCAGCTTCCCTGTAGGCCCCTTCAGGTACTGGAAGGCTGCAATAAGGTCTCCCCGGAAATATAGACTATTTCTTTGAGGGCCCATGAAAGCGTATTTATTGCCAAAAAGAGCCATTTAAATGCTGCTAGTCACTCCTCCTACCAAGGCCAGGACCAGCAGTAAGGAGGTTGGCAATGACAGCCAGGTGCTGAAACGCTCAAGTACAGTCAGGATGGGAAGGTTACACCTGCGTGTTGTCACTGCAACAAAGCCCAGCAACACCATAGTTCTGTTAACTATGCTAGGCCAGGCATACTAGGACCTTTGTGTGGTTTGCAGGGGTTTTTTCTTAAATACAAGTTATTAATCAATGTAAAATATCAAATACATAACAGTAAATCGGCTTGCAATCATCAATGGGAACTAGCATTAGCATATCGACACTGGTGCAGCTCCTGCACTGCTCATTTTGAGGGTGTGCCACCTCACATGCAGTATCTGTACGTCTCCTCCTGTGTCTCTTTTTCTGTTTGATACTGAAGTGGTAAAGGGGGAGGCTTTGACTTTCAATGTTTGAAGTTCATTTTTACCTCGTTTCCAGCTCCAGGCAGAAAGGTTTTGACTTTGATTGTCTTTCCAGGTGCAGGAAAAGGAGATTCCATCAGGCTCCTCATAAATGGATAAACCAAGGCAGCAGATATTCCCCTTCTCCTTTCAACCTCATCCAGGATCTGATCCATTAGTAAGACATGAGAGAGAAAGAGACAGAACATGTCAGCACCACATACGCTTTTGAAGCATCTTTTGACCCACATGTGCCTAAACACATGGGAGATCTCAGTTTAATTCTCCTCTGCCATGCACTTCTTTATGACCACTACATCCACAATCATACTCTAAAAATGGTATGTTTTCCAGTTACAAAATGGAGCCCGTTTGTGAATGCAGTTAACGCAGAGACAAGGAAGAAGTAACAAATCTGGAAAGGAGAAAGAAGACTCAGCATGGCAAAAGGGATCTACATTGTAGGGATTTTGCCTGAACAACAGGGTGATCTGAAAGAGAGAAAGATCACGACAAATCCCACGATCCCAGGCCAGGGCAGTGTCAGGTCTCAGGGATACATCTTGAAATTTGTCTATGGAGAAACACTTTCTTCTGCCCTGGGCATCTCTTCCATTTCAACTGAGAGGGAAGGAAAAAGCCAGCCCAGCAAGAACAGCAGCCCTGCCACACTATGATGCCAGCAGAGCTCCACCAGGAAAGAGCTCCTGGAAGAGTCCCGGCCGTGGCAGCACTGCTGTTCCCCCAGCCGTGAGCAGCCTCAGGAAGCCTGCCCAGCTGTTCACACTGGGTGCCTGCATTAAGGTCGTTTTCTGTTTGACATGATGCAGAGCAGGCAATCCACTTTTGAAATGAGCAGATGGAACTTCTTCCAGATAGAGAGGACTACTAGTTTCCTCTCTCTGTGGTCACATGGGCCAACATAAATTAGATCACAGCTAAGTTTTCCCACATTAGACAGACTGTATAGATGATAAACCTAAAGAAGACGAGAAAGCAAGCTTCAAAGCAGCTAGTGGTTTGACCTGAAATGGTGATCTTTTAACCACCACTCAAGAGCAAAAGGCCATGTAAGAGTTAGTGGGGCTGAGCCAGGAATTTTCCTTTGTTTCTTTTGGAAATGCTTTTCACGGAAACAGAACGTTGAAAGATACTTAGGCACAAGCTGGTGACTTATGATGATAACTAGTGACACCAAATGCCAACAGAGACATTTGGCAAACTGGTGCATAGTTTCCCCTTCCTCTTTGCAACACAGTTAAGACTAAAGCAAAGCTGGCCCATAGCTGACATTCCAATCCATGGAAGTGGCAGATAACCATAAACGAAGCTGTGGATTTCATTCTTGATGTAATCTGCAGTACAACAACTATCCT